CCCGCTCCCCGCCCCGGCCCCGGCCCTGCAGACCTCCTTCAGCACCGCCCGGATCTCGCTCACGTCCCCGTCGAAGGCGGCATCCAGCAGGCGGCGGCGGCGCTGCAGCTCCTCCCGCCGCTCCCGCTGCGCCGCCTCCTCCTGCTCGCGCCGCCGCCGCGCGGCCTCCTGCTCCCGGCGCACCAGGGCCAGATAGGCCTGCAGGTTCCCGCCGCGCGCCCCGAGGTCACTGTCCACGCCTCGGAGGTCCCGGCCCAGCCTGGGCTCCACCCCGCACCCTGCCTCCTGCCCGGGCCCCGGGGGTCGCGACCGCCCGTCCTCACCTCCCTCTGCAGCTTCTCCATCTGCTCCAGGTACTCCCGGCGCTCCTCCCGGCGGCGGGCGAGCTCCCTCCTGGCCCGGAGCTGCCGGAAGGCGCCCTGGATCGCCCTGGCCGCTCGGTCCTCCGCGGCCGGCCCTGGGGAGGGGAGACGGCTCGTGGGGGCGCCTTCTCGCCCCCAGCCACGCCTGCTGCGCCCCTGGGAGTGGAGCCGGCCCAGATCCCGCCCCCAGAAGAACCCAAACGGTTCCCAAAGCCGCCAGATGCCGCCGAGCAAATACGCGCCTGCAGAGGCCACACGAGGAGGCTGCGTGAAGGCCGGGGCGGAGAGGGGACCCAGGTCTGTGGGAACCCCCCGGGCCCCGCGCGCCTCCGGGGATCCTGTGAGCCCCGCCGAGCCCGCAGCTCCGCAGCTCAGGAGCCCCGAGGAACGGCGAGGAAGCAGCCCTGTCCCCCACAGGACTCGCCTCCCCTGAAAGCCGGAGGCCTCTCCTGCATCCAGGCCCCAGCGGGCAAAGGCTGGGCTGGCCGGGAGACCCCTGGCCTGGGAGGTCTCATCACAGCCCCACTGGACTCAGAAGAGAGCGCGGAGCCCAGGGCCCCAGAGGGAGCACCATTCTCTCTGGACTCGGCCTCGCCCCCACCCCCGCCCCATGGCGGCTGCCACCGAGCTCTGAGCCCTAGCCTAGAGCCGCCTTGCAGGGAGGAAGGGGGCGGAGGAGAGGCCTTTGGGCCCAGCCCTGCCCTCGGCTGCCTCGTGAAGTCAGGGCACCATGCAGCCTCCCCGGGCCTCGGAGCTGTAACACGGAACGGTACTGGCAGCTTTCTAAGGGTCTAGGAATGGGCGCTTGGGGCGCCTCCCCCACAGTGAACGTCAGCGTGCGCCCAGTGGGTGTGACTTGTACCAGGGCACACAGAGTGCCGGGCGAGGCTGTCGGGCCACGCGGGCACCCAGCAGGGAGCCACAGCCGTGCAGGCCGCCACGGGAGCCCAGGCCAGAAGCAACCAGGCAGCTCAGCTGGGTCCACAGGTGATCCCGCTCGGCAGCCAAGGACTCTGATTCCCACAGCCAGGCTCCCAGGAGCATGGACAGGATGGCGGGATGAGGAGAGACCTAGAGGCCCAGAAGACCAGGGCACGGACCGGAGCCGCCAGAGGGGGCGGGGCGGAGAGTGGAGTGACGTGGGAGAATCACAGTTGATGACAGTAAAGGGAGAGCCGCCAGCAGCTGGGAGGGCGGGACAGAGCGGAGGTGGACAGAGATAATACAGTCCTGAGAATAACGTGTGTCTAGGACGCAGAGACCGCCGTGGAAACAAAGAGCAAACACTCAAGATAAAATCCAGGAAATCCTGGAAGCAATCTTAGGACAAAAGAGGCAAAAAGAAAAATATCAGAAAACAAAGGGCATGAACAACAGGCATCAGACGCAACTCGCTGAGCGCCTCAAAACAAAATGTTTTTCAAGCCCGGAAGGAGAAAAGGCGAAGCGCCTCTGAGAGGAAAGTCCGGCTTTCCTGAGGCCTTTCTTTTCTTTTTGACACAGGATCTCACTCTATCACCCAGATGGAGCACAGTGGTGCAGTCTCTGCTCACTGCAGCTCCCACCTCCCGGGCTCAGGCAATTTTCCCACCTCAGCCTCCCCAGTAGCTGGGACCACAGGCACATGCCTGTGGACCACGCCCACCTCCCAAGGCCCTTTCCAGAAACACTAAGTGTTAGAAGAAAATGAAGCAGTGTCCACAAAATTCTGCAGGGAAAACAGTAGGCCAGGAACACTCTGGCTGTGCAACAGGGATGGTGAGAAGACTCTGGTTCTGCAGAGGAGA